TGCCCTTTGTTACTAGTAGCGACCTTGCTCCTAGTAGTAAGGCCAGGAGCTACTAGTAGCGTCCTTGCTCCTAGTAGCCTTGGCTTGGAGAGTTGGGAAGTTGATTGGAGCATGATCACTCTGGATAGGTGTTCAATATTTAGGATCGAACTGCTGTTGCTTTGTGCCGGAAGCATCTGTAGACCAGAAATTGCCAAAAGAGAAAGGGATAGAGTCCGTTTGAGTTGTGGGTGATGACCTAATTAGGTGGGCTATGCTGCTTTGGCTGATGCTCTTCAGTGTCATTGGCCGCTTGCCTAGCTAGCAGTGCTCGTGGTTGAACAGAAGCAAAGGGAACATTATTTCATATTATTTCATTGTGAACAAATCTCATCTAGTCACAAGAAAAGTTTCTTGGTTCGTTTGGCGAAGAGTTGTAACATTTTGCACTGAAGTCGCGCTAAGGTCGTTTTGGTTAGGAGTGCTCGTGAGGTGGTTGAGTTAAACATGGGGCAGATCAGGTGCTAGGTTGAAGTTGTGAAAATTGCTGATAGAGTTCCTGATCAGACCTTTGCGTGCAAGAGTGATTTGTATTAGACATGCAAAAAACTGTGGGGACATTGCGTGTCCACATTGAAACTTGTCCCAGAAACAAAGCGCTGACACAACTAGCAATCCATGCCCTCCCGTTTCCCGGTGTTCTTTCTGCACCAGTGTTCGAATCCTGAAAACGCAAAGGCGAACGAAATGCGAAGAGTCAACCGTGCATTGTCGTGGTCTGGCGCATCCTACACCAGTGCGGTTCTTTCACAAACACCGCTCGAGGCGTCGCCCATCATCACATCGGATGCACGAGCTGGTGCGGGACCTGAGGAGAGGCTGAGCTAGTAACAATGTTCGCTACTAGGGGCTCCTGGCATCGCTACTAGGAGCAAGGACGCTACGAACGGGGCTCCTGGCCGTACTGCTAGGAACAAGAATGCTACTAGGAACAAGAAGCTATGTTATGTGCCTGAGGTGAACGCAGTGAGTTATTTTTCTGCGTCGGGAATTGCTGTGGGAACGAGGCGGACGTGGCCGTTGCAAAGGCCCAGCAAGGCCAGTCCTTCCCTCACAACTTGAGGACAGATGCAAGTGTAGATTGGTCAAATTGAATGTTGCTCCCAAGTGCAGATTAAAGATAATGGTAAAAAGACTAGACTCTATTTGGAGCGTGTAGCAAAATAGCGCACTGGGTTTAGATGTGTTTAAGATGTTTGAGGCAGGTGGCACTGATACAGGATACTCTTGGCCTCTTCGGTGGCTCTTTGTAAGTTTGGAAGTGCTGAACTTTCATTCGTTTTGGCAAGATCCTGAAAGGTTTTGGCACCGTGTCCGACACAGAAACAAGATTCTAGGAACCATTATAAACCGAACACGGCATGCACGTGTACAGTCCCATTTGAAATTGTTGGGGCCTTTGAGGGGAGTTTCATGCTTTCTATTATTTCTGCTTAAAAGGCCCATGTTTTGTGCAACTAATAGTAAGTATGTCATGTGAGGTTTCTGTCGAAAAGCAGCCATCAGGTCATTCAGATTTTCCACTTGCTTCGGAGATTTCAAGGAACAAGAACGCTACTAGGGGCTCCTTACTCTGGCTCCAGGTGCTCTGAAAGCTTTTGGCCACGGTCCCGGAGCCTTCAATGACGGGACTCCCTGACGCCGACGGACTGCTTTCGCTGAAGTTTATTGACTTGAAAACTAACTCTTGCTAGCAGCGATGGCCTCCACCAAGTAGCTTTGGTCGTTAGAAAGTTTACACTTTTGGTTTACTTTTTACTTTTGCGCTACTAGTAGCAAGGACGCTACTACTTGCTCCTGGCATCGCTACTAGGAGCAAGTAGCTACTAGTAAAAAGAAGCTACTAGTAACAAGCTGCTGGACTTCGAGGTCATGATGCGTTCCCGGTGGCCTTTGCTAAGCTTTCTCGCACGGCTACACCCAAGGCACTGCACATGAAAAGCACTTGAGACAGTTACTGGTAGGGCATCGTGACAGATCTATGGGGTCTTGGGGCCCACTAGGGAGCCTGAAGCCACCAGAACGGAAGATTCAGTTATCCTTCACCGGGATGCTGTCGTATTTCTTCGACAGTCTGCAGATCTGATGCTAGATACCGAATATTTTGTCAAACATTTGCCCGATATTGCATATCTCGGCTCTCGTGCGCTTTCGTGTCACACTTCGCCTCAACAGGAAGCGGCAATTTCACATATGTGAAAAACATGAGATCCGTCCAAAAACGTTGGAACCAGAAGCTGTTTGTCGGTAGGTGTTACATTGAGCATACACTGAAAACCGATGAGGAAAACCCAAGATTGATGCCTTTGTATCAAACCGATAAGATATGTAGTATATATATAATATAGTATATTAGTATGTTAGTGGTTATAAATATTAGTATTTCTGTGGTATTCATCAAACAGAAACCCAAGCCCGATGCCCTGTCCTGACCACTCCCAGGTGTAATATCGGACAGAACTCACAAGACGTTCACCAACTGTCCGAATCAACCTTCCACAGTGCATGTTCTGAATTGTGTGAGTCTTCTGTGAGCCCTCAAAAGCCAAAGAGATTTGGTGACCCTGTCGGAAACTGAACACGAGCACAAGAAAAGAACAGATGCTGATTGATGCTGGGTACTGTCCTGCACAAAACAGCGACGGCTGCGGGAAGTAAGCTTAAGAGCATCTCTGCATACGGAGGTTTTGGGATCCGACGAGCCTTGAAACATGCAGTGGGTGCAACAGAAGTCGACCACAACGCAAGCAACATGAAAGCGATGGAGATACAGAAAGCGATCCGCGGTGACGATCGGCTTTCGCCAGGACTGGACCTTCGGACCTGGTCGTATCCTGGTCCAGCCGAGAGGCCAAATCTTTCCCGCAAAAAGAAGGAGCGATCGGACGCATCGAACTAGGAGCAAGGACGCTATTAGGGGCTCCTGGCACTACTAGGAAAAAGAAGGCTACGAACGTAGCAAGAAGCGAGTAGGTTGGAGGCCGTCGTTTTGTCCGTTTCTCACAGGCCGAGCTGGGAGGCACCAACTGGGCCCAGAACTTCGCTAAGGAGGTGAGTGTCGGATTCGGTGAATTCGGACCAGTTGGGAGATCTGAAGCGATACATTCATTATCATTGACATGTTTGCCTCATATCGGCCTTGGCCATCAGGCTTTGAAGTGCTGTTGAACCAACAAGAGCAAAATTTTACCACAAGCAGCTTGTCGCGCTTCCACCATTCGACGCAAACTGTCCCAATGATATCTTTGGTATTTGGATGTATTTGGTAACACATATATGCTTATTATGCTTGTGAAATTCATTCAGTCGAAGAGGTCAACTCCCGAAGGTCTTTGGTGACCGTGCTGGCGTTCACTTGGAGGAGGATGTGGAATGTCAATGCCCCAGAGTGTTAGAAATATGCACCATTTGTAACCTTTGGAAATTGGTCCGAGGATCCTTTTGTAGATCTAATGACACGTGGGTACTACTATGATTGTGTTTCACTGAATCGAGGCCTAGGTGCGTAAAGGTCGCAAGCGTTTGGTTTGTTTGCCTTGGTCTGAATCATGTTCTTTAAATCCTGTCGCACGTTTCTAGGATGTTTTAGTTCTTCTGACGGCTATGGGTTCAGACGGGTCAAGACGGCCTGCGTGCAGACCTAGAAGCATGAAAAGACATGACCTTGGCCTGCAGACAATAAGACAAGCGTCACCTGAACAGCATTTAGCTCCCTGCAAAAAGATGCAGCATATGCCAGCATGCAGTTGAAAGAACAATCCTCAGATCTTATTGCGATGCATTCCGTGTAAAGCAAGGTCAAGCGGCCAACGAGTTTTCTCTCAAACAACTGCCTCAAGCCATCTCAAGCCATCTCATCTCTCAGAGCGCCGACGCACAAACGCATGTGGAGGCGGAGGTTGGAGTTGGAATCGATTCGTTTAGTCATGGTCTTGACCCTTTTTGAATAACAGATGAACGTTTTGAGATGGTGGATTCTACCAGCGATGGCCTCCAACCTAATTGAGATGGTGCATTCTACTCACTTGCCTTCCATAATTAAAGGGGTGCCAGTGTCATCTACGTAAGTCAGGTGTAATTCAAAGCGCGGTTTTCAGCGATGCATCATCGAGCCTGCCTGAGTGCCAGGCATGGCCCAGAAGGAGTCCCAGGTTACGATCTTGGCAGTGAAAACAACAGACTCCGAAAACATGGACAATCGGATATGTTTTTGCATTAAAGTTGCATTCCAAAAGGAACATCTGAGCTTATCTAGCCGGAGACCTGAGGTGGATTTGGCGGTGATTCCATGATGTCACGCTTAGATTCTGAAGCACCCGTAACTTCCGCGATATATGTTCAGATTGGAAAGAACGGCAGGTCAGTCCAGCTTGCTCTCTTGATTCCAGGGTGAAGCACGAAGTGTGAGACTACACGGAGTGTGATTTGGTGGACTTTGGAGCTCTAACTTCTAAGGGGTGTGTGCAAGACGACCGGTTTTAGCACCCAAAGGTCCAATTCAGCGATATTGGGCGTTTTGAGAATCGTTTGTCCGGGATTGAGGACAACAATGGGGAAGTTGGAGGATTGAGTGTTTGTCAGACCTGTTCCTTTAGCTGAAGTATGAAGTAGGTCAGGTGTACCAGGGTGCGGGAAGTCCTCCACGTGAGTGTGTCATTTCAGGTTTCAGAGCTTCGGGATAGCACCACTAAATTTGTTGGGGATGAGAATCTTCAAGACGGACAAAGTCAGACCTTAAGTTTCGACAGTTTTGAGCAAACCGATGGCTGCTTGGAGCCACAGTCTCCTCATAATGTTTCCTCCATGTCCGTGTTTATGTTTGTTTTTTTTGCACAAAATCAGACAGAACAAAGATGAACAAAGATATTGAAAAAGAAGACAAAGAATAAAAGACGGATGAAAAGAATCGAAAACACCGAGAAAGCTCACGACGAGGCGAAGGCTCGAGACGAGCGCCGTGAGCGCCGTGTCTTTCGTCTCTCGGAGCGCAACGTCAACGTGGCGCCCACGGTGTCCACGGCACCCACGGAGGATCGGACGAGTGTTCAATCTATAAAACGTTATAAAACGTTATAGTTATATAGCGTTATGTATCTTTTTATATATCAACCAATTCTCAGTGTTTTTTCCTTAAGCGTTGCAGGAGGAGTCGCTGGTTGCTCCAGGTTGTGGGCCCCAGCGGCCACCCAAAGTTTGCAAACGGAGAACTTCACATGGATAGTATCTCTAGCAGTCAAGAGTCATTTGTGATTCAATGTGATTCACATGAAAATACATGAAACACCGCTAGCATGGCATGTGTGAGAGATGCGCATGAAATGACTAGGACGATAGTGAGAAGTCGATACCAAACGAGAGAGTTCAGAGTCGTAGAGAGGATGAGCTGTTCAGGGCGAGTTCCACAAGAACACCGCGAGAGGACATTCGCCACGTGGGAAGCATTCGTGCGAAGATGCAGGGTTTGTCCTCAACCGTTCAGGAAACTCAAAGTGGCTTATGGTACAGAGGGGCGCAGCTTGGCAGAAGACAAGAAAAGACGAGCAATAAACATGACTGTGTGTGTGTCTCTCTCTCTCTCTCTCTCGCTGGCTTGCTTTGCTTTGTGTTGCTTTGCTTTGTTTTGTTTTGCTTGCTCTCGCCCTTTTTCTCTCTCTCTCTCTCTCTCTCTCTTGCACGTGATAAAGCCAGACACCTTTGCCCTAAATCGGGTCAGGCCACCAAGTGATGCTGTGTGAACAAAAGGATTTCATGATGAATTCTTGAATTCTGGATGCCTGTATTTACTTAGTGATGTAGTATGCATGCAATCCTTAGAAACAGAGTGGACAGCAGCTGTGCAAAGAGAGGCAGTCGACCCTCTCATGCCGCTTGTGTTGAGCGGCACCTTTTGTTGATTTGTGCTTGCATGAAATGGAACTAAGGACGAGATGAAGCAAGCAGCTGCCAAGGCGCTCATATTTATAGAGCAGCTGAGAAGGAGATTTAAAGGGTACATGGGAACCTGTAAGTATGGCCAACATTGAGACCACCAAGGAGACAGAGCATGAGGGGGCCCGTTTCCAGTGCTTCGACGGGTAGGGCCACTACAAGCTCAGTATGCTGAGAGGATACTCAGACAAAACCAGCTTCTGATTCATTTGGTGATTTAAAACCAGACTCTGAGTAGCGATGCCCGGGTTCCTAGTAGCGATGCCAGGAGCCCCTAGTAGCGTCCTTTTGGAGTGCTGATGTTTGTCGATTTCAATCCGAAATGTTTCCAGTGCACCAGGTGGGCCGTGGCGGCCATGCCCTCAGCCTTGACAAACATGTCACCCTAGGTTTGAGAGACCATTGCTAGGGAGGCCGTCGCTGGTAGGTTGGAAGCCATTCCTAGTCTTGCCATGGCTTCAATATGATTTCATCAAGCCATTGTACTTGTGGCGACGGCCAGACAGGCCAAAAGGAGGTGAGTGCTCTCGGAGGGCTCAAGCTATCTCCATCTTTGCATCCGAAAAATATTGCGTGCTACGGCTACAGCAAAGCTGCAACCTTTGAAGCAGGTTTCCGGTCACAGCCTGTGCACACAGGTCAGAGCACGTCAATGTCCACAGGTCCACAGCGAAGCCTATGACGCCCCGACTTGATGCGCCACTGAACGAATTGATTCACAGTGAATTCACCTGAATCAGCAGAATGACGTCAGCCAAGGATGATTGACACTTTCCGCACCTTCCTTTTCTGACCCGTGAGCTTAGCCTGTCAACGGGTCAGGAGAGAACTCTGCCTGCTACTGCCTGCTATGTAGTGCATCCTTCTGATCTATGGCCACTCTGCATCTCTCAAACAAATCCAGCCAGGGCAGATCCGGCAACAGAAAGGAGCTGGTCAGGAGTTAGAGACCACCTCATAACGCCAGAAGGGATTTTTTTTCGTCAAAGTTGCAGCGAACTGTTAAACCTAAAACCTTTCGGCTCGGTCCGGAGACCCCGAAAGTAGATGTGTCGTGTAGTATTGAGTGTTTACTTGGTGCTCAACTGCAGGCCAGACCGAACTCGGAGACCCGAACCAGGTGCGATGTGGCAGCCTACTTGCTCTATCTTCGCCTACGCTGTTTCTCTAACATTCTCTAACAGGTTGCCCAGCAATACACCGGTAGTCTGTTGTGTACAATACACCGCCGGTGTTTATTTGAAGCTTTAAATGGCTGTGCGTGTTTGACCATAGACGATTTAGAACACTGCAAGGTGTTGTTGACGTTGCTTACCGATCTGCTTACTTCACCCTCAGACTTAATTGCACTCCAGTCCATTGCCTTGGCCCAAAGTTTGGAGCTACATCTAACAGGTGAGGTAGGGTGAGGTAGCTAAGTGTGGAGTGGGACCGAAAAAATGAGAACTCGCTAGAGCCCGTGTAGCTTTGCTTTTGCCTTTTTCTGATTCAAGTTGAATCTCAGTTGCTTGTAACTTGAGAAGCCAACTCAGTGTCACTGCTTTCGTGCCAGCTCCTCAACCTCCGAGCTCGAATGCCAAAGGCAAAGGCGAACCGCTTTGCAATTTTGCAACGGAGCTTTGAAGCGCAAGACGAATGCGGATGCTTCGCTAGGTCAACATCGTGGGATTCCTCGCATTTGGCGACCCTGGACCCCTACAGGTAGCACCAGACCAGATCGTGTGGAGAACTTTGGGCTCGGCACCAAGAGGGGATTCAGGGTTCTTAGTGAACGAAATGGCCGTGGTCGTACGTGGTGATTGTCACGGACAACATCGGTTCAACATTTGTTTGTCTACATGTCCTATATTGTCCTATATTGTCCTATTCAGTTTCAATTAGGAACAAGAAGCTACTAGGGGCTCCTGGCCGTACTACTAGGAGCAAGAACGCTACTAGGGGCTCCTGGCCTTACTGCTAGGAACAAGAAGCTACTACTATATTGTCCCAGTCACATCCCGAAGGGCTCACTTGTGGCTGACTTTGTTGGCTCGTGTGAGGCGATTCCTGCCACCGACAAAAGAGCTTTTGGAGGCCTTGGCAGGCCAGAGAGCCTCTCTCGAGCTCGGCATGAGTTCAGTCGCCCAATCTTTGGGGCTTTATACTAGTAGGGGCACTGTTTTTTACACATAGCTGTTGGCTGTTACTGCTGCTCCGACGATGACGACTACTACCAAGAGAACCTTCTTCTATACACTTCCAATTCTTTTCAAAGACAAGTTCTATAAGTTTGTATACAGACAGCCTTTTCACAAGCAGAGCTGCTTCTCAATCTTCCTCTTCGAACCTATCTCAATTAAATGCACGTCTGACGAGAAGAAAGCGTTCGCTTAGGTTTTGTGACAATAACTCAAAAGATCGGTGGACGTGGTAAGGAACGGTGCCTTTCGGAGAAACTGTCAAATAG